CTCGCGTGTGTGTGTCTGTGGCGTAGTGCAGGCTTCTTGCCTTCAGAGTTTTGACAGAGCATATCCTTGTGTATCTTTCCTCTAATTGAATCCATCCCTCAGGGCGTCACCGCTTGTTTATATGCTGACACCATGAAGGTGTGTGTGTGTGTGTGTGTGTGTGTGTGTGTGTGTGTGTGTGTGTGTGTGTGTGTGTGTGTGTGTGTGCCATGCTGAAGGCAGAACACTGCAAACACGCTCTCCTTATTGTTTAATTATAGCCCACCAGCTGGGGAGACAGAGGAAGAGAACGAGGGCAGAAGAGGAAGAGTTATTGATTGAATTAGTCAGATTATTCATATTTAATGTTTTGCTTTGTCTCCATCCTTCTGCCCAAGCCTTCCCCTCTGTCTTTGCCTTGATAGCTTTTCGTTAATAAATTATTTTCTTTTTTTTAGTTGCTTAAAACCTCCAATAAACAATACATTTCATATGCTTCATCAGTCAACAGGGTCTGAAGTGCACCAATAAAAATTGACTGCTGTCTACACGTGAGGCCAAGGGCAGTGGGTGAGGCTACCTACGGAGCCCCTAAAGGGACATGGAAAAAAAAAAAAAATGAAACGTTTCTAGTGCGCACTCGGTACTATCTTGTGAGCATTAGATACAGATTGCCTGTTGTGGGAATTGAATTTGAATTTGAATATTAAAATTAGCCATGTGTTGATAGGTCATGACAGGAAAGTGTAACCAATGAAATTACTTATTTTGACACACATTTTAAGCCAATAAGTATTAAACTAACGAGGTAATGTGTCAAAAGGCGACCATTTTTGTTATTTTCTCAAAAGGAGTGTCCGGCTGCAGGACAGGGCATTTAAATGCGGACTGTAACAAAAAGGTTACAGATTAATTTACATTTATTTTTTAGTTACAGACAAATTAGTTTAATACTCATTTGAATATTAAAATTAGCCATGTGTTGATTCGCCACAACACGGATCCATATCTAGTGCTCACTAGATAGTACTAGATAGTATCTAGTGCGCACTAGAAAGGTTTTTTTTTCCCCCATGTCCCTTTAGGGGCTCCGTAGCTACGAGGTTCACAGTCTCATTCGCCCTTAAAAAACGCTTCCTTCCACCTCTGTAGGTTGTTAGCTTTCCTCTTTGGTTTGTTTTCCAGCTTGATTTTAGCCCATAAAGGGCTAAATGTCCACTATCTAGTGCTAATAAATAGCCTATCAGTACCCATAAGGAACCCATTTGTGAATTTCAGTTCTGTTATTTATGCAATGTTAGCATTAACATTAGCTCCCTCAAAGCTAAACTGGTAATTACAGAATGATGGGAAATGCTAACACACAGTCGGGAGCACAAGTACAGTCAACAGTAACTAATAAAGTCAGTAAAATGAATCAGAAGTGTCATATACACAGAAAGAGCTATCTGCAGTTTGCTAACACTAGCCACCAAAAGCTACTTCTCAAGGCTGTAGCATAACTCACAAGTGTACTGAGTTAAACATGCTAATTTTGGCTACTTGGGGCAACAGAAACAAGCTGATACATTATCACCTTTGAAGTTGATATGTTAGCATGCTGATATGTTACTAAAATACACATCCAGCGCAACATTAGCATTCATTTGGAGTAAGTCCAATGTTCACTCTCCTTTTAGCTCTGTCTTTGGTCTCCATCAAAAGGGAAACATCTGTCTCTGTAGCTGCACCGCTCTCTCTTACTATCGCTAACTTTGTACATTGGGTATATCATGGCGTTTTTGTAGAAAACATCTGCCTGCTACAGCTGAAAATATCGCTATGAAAGCAATGAGAATGAATCATAATGGTAAAGTTGCAGGTCATAAAACTCAAACAGTGATAGATGCTAAAAGCTAAAAGGGAGATGAGGCGAGATGAGCCGGGTGATAATTGTAAGAGTCACTCCTTTGACAAAAAGAACATTGATAACAGCTAGAAGAACATTATTGAACTTTTTAAGAGGAACTTTTAAAAGTTACATAGTCTCACTTGAAGTCTGTTTGCTTGTTAGTCAGTTTGCCAGTCAATTGTCCGTCTTGCAGTTTGTCCAACTCCTCAAACCCCAACCTGCCTGTCTATTGATTATTATTGCAGCAAGATAGCAGCCTTGCTAAATAACAGACCATGTAATGCCTTCAGTGAACCACTCTGTCCATAGCGGCAGACGGTAATGATACTCAGCAACAGTATTTATGTGGACAGCTCTGTCTTTGGTAACATTTTACAGAATGCAGGACTGTAAAAAGATGTTAGGAAAAAAAGAAGAAAAGATTTGACTAAGTCCACATCATGAATTAAATGTTATGACCATTTCTTTTTACATTTTTAAATTTAAAAAGCTCTTAATGTGTACTTTGTATTCCAGATCTGTTCACCACAATATCAGAGGGAATACTGCCCACTGTTTGAAAAACATTCCTGTTATAATATCACATATATTCTGCTACACCATCACAAAATACATTAGAAATGTCATGCTAAAAAAAAGCCAATTTAGAAACTGTAAACCAGTCATTGTATACTTGCTGGAAAAATTTCTGTATTTTCAGATAGAGACTTTACTGAACTAAAATGACACTGTGTGTTTATCCCTGATGAAGGCTGATGATATCAGTAGCTTACACAGACAACCTATGCAGCTCATTATTTTTAATTAGCCCCACCTTCTCTTGCCTTAACTGCAAACTTTTGCTGATGCTACCGCTGCGTGTCAACAACAGTTTGCTCTGCCTAAAACTTTAAGTGCCACCACTCTCAAACTACAGACCTGAGTGTCTGAGCCTTTGTTTCCCGTTTAATGATCCCACTCTCCATCCTGACTGATCTTTTTAATTGCATCCCATTGGACTCAGAACTTTCTGTGCATCCTCCAGTGTGTAACATATAGCCTGCGCTGCCTTCCAGATGCAACCATCATTACCCAACTGATGCTACTGTGGTTCCTTGTGGTCACAGCCTCAACTTCCCCCCAGTCTGCATCTATTATTCAATATTCCTGTTCAATACTGTATTGGAACTACCACAGAGTATCACATTCTAGCCCGGTAACCCCTGGAATTACATTCAGATCGGTTGATTCTACTGCACATGATTTATGTCCGATGTCAGTGTTCAGAGCTAATACAGGCCTTTGTTTAGCGAGGCATAAAGTAAAGGTTTGGAGGTTGGGGGTGGTGGATGAGCACTGACTTTCATGCCAGAGACAGTACTCTTAATGACAGTGGGACAATGCTTTAAGGGGAACTGCTGTGACTTACTTTAGTACCTCCATAAAGTTGGGGGATTTACGACAGACTGATAAAAAAAAATGGTCAAAATTAAAGCTGCAAACGCTAACATAACCTAGCCAGTTATGGGTCAAGTTCTGAAAACCCTGGATCCTACACTTCCCTTAATGCAACTTGATAGTATCTTTTGTTAGAGGCTCCCCTGTCTGGGGAACAGCTGTATCGTTGACACCCTACACCCGTAAGTCGTAATTTAGGGTTTCTGTTTCAAATTTGTAGTCCTCATGAATACCCGGGATTACCAAATGTTTGTCGGTTGCGATGCTTTCAGAATACTAAATTTGTGTGTCAAAGTTCACCAAAGTCGAACCATACGCTCTGCCTTCCGGTGGATTTGCTTTGCCACAGCTAACAAGTCCACTGATTTGCATTGAAATGAATTGCTTTGGGCCCTAAGTTTCTGTTATAAAGTTTTGGTGCTGTTATGGTAGTCAGTTTGTTATGCAGCTGTTTTAGGGAGAAAAGACATGTGTTAGTATCTTTGAAATGTCACGTCTTCATTATTTCCCCTTCACCCACACTTTGGGTGACTGGTATTTTGGAGGAAAAAAAAACATACCTTTGCACAAATATGGAGCTGAGATATTTGAGAATCTGTGTTTTGCTCTCTGCTATGAATCTGTTTTCCCGTCTTTTCTCAAATCTGCTTTGAAACTCCTGCAGCCTGCGTTGGCGGCTTTCGACCAGCATAAAGGGGGAAAGTTAAAAGTCCGGGCTTTAACTGTTCTGCTTCGTCCTGCACTCACTTTTCTAATGTGTCGGCTGTGGGGCCATGCTGACCCAGCTGCATTATGGGTCAGTGGGATGAATGAACAAGTGGTGGCAAATGCGATAAAAGACGGACAGATCATTTGTCCTCGCGGCCTGTGTGCACACTTTTACACACACACACACACACACACACACACACACACACACACACACACTTGCACACTTGGATGACAAACAGTCTATTCTGTCTAACATCGTTAACCAGGCTGGATGCAGGGTGCTGACTGTGGATGCAGTAGCAATCTATAATACATGTGGGTGTGTGTTTGTGCGTATACTTGCAGCCCTGTGTCATATCTATGTGTGTGTGTGTTTATTGAAGCAGTTTCAGCCTAATCTGTGTTTGGTCTCATCATTGATTGGTGTCACATAGCTCAGGCTGCCTTTTAACCTAACCACATTAGGAATGCTCACTCCGACCCTGCGGTCAATAAAATTCATGAGTGATGCATCACAACGTCTTCACATTCACTAGCTCTAAAGCCTGATACTCCATATGCTGCTCAGTCAGCCTCCCGGTCTCTCAGCATCTGCCGCTGTTGGGGTTTTTTTTGCCTCACACAATCTCTTTAAAGTGCCTATCCAGCGCCCTCGCTAACAATCTGAACATTTTCCATCACCTCTTGCAAACAGATCTTTGGTTAACAGGGTGAAATGGGAGCAATGACTGCCACTCAGAGCAGTCACAGGTGGGCCTTCCCACTTCCCAGACTCCTCGGTGGCTCATTTTTCCTCTCAAAAACATTTTTTGATAGGAGTAGAAGAGATAAACGTGCATCACTTTGTCAGAAGAGTTTATAAATTTGAATGGGATAATGAGGTCACTGGAGAAAGCCTAGTTTTTACTGCAAGTTCTTGTCATTGGTTTACACGCTGTTGCTATGTGTCTGTCTGTTATATTCCTTAACTGCTGCTCTTTACGTGGTTCGAACGAGCGTCCATGCTGGTGATCCTGCTCAACTGTGTGACATTGGGCATGTTTCATCCCTGTGACGACGGTGAATGCAAGTCTGAGAGGTGCAACATCCTGCAGGTAAGACAGTGTTTTCTTTTCACACTTTGTTTCATGCAAAAAAGTCACAGAATTCATTATTATTTCCCAAAAGCAGTGGAGATATGTGCCTAAAGGGCCTAGCTCTCTTTTTTATTGTTTTTCTGGCACTTTTAATGTTGCACTTTCCCATATTGAAATGTCTCTATGATGATATCTCTATTTTCATTCTACCTTTGAGCATCTCCACTTAAAACAGCTGCAAATGCTTGATTCGTAGTCTGACTTGTTGTCTAGGGTCGAGCTCCAAAAATGCTGCATCCTACATTTCCCACAATGCAACTTTATTGAGTCTTTTTATGAGTCCGTCCCGGAGTGGTAGACGCCTTCATCTTTCAAACCTTACACCCCCAGTTTATAACTATAGTGTGTTAGTAGTCATTTAGTAAGTAAGTTGGCTCCGTTTCACCAGTGAGACATAGCTGGTAACATAGCATGAAGCAGAAGTACTGTTGCTATGGTTACCTGAAGTTTGAAGTCTTTTTTCCAAACGGTGATTTAACTGTTGATTGGAACTATGTTCGAGGTGTCCCGCGCACACAGAGACCCGACAGTAGGAGACATGTATCACTAGCATCCATTTATCTACCTTGATCTTTATTTAATAAGACAAGTACAACCCAGTGAAAGACCTTCCAGTGGGACGGGCATGAAGACAAACACACATTACAGAAGCAACATTCACTCACACAGATGTGACATGAGGAGATAAGGATAACAAATGCAGAGCAATGGCTGGAAAACACCACACATTACAGCACGGCAAGAGCAGCACAGTTTCTATGGCAGATTATGAGACAACACAAGCCTTATTCAAACACAGCAAAACAGATGGCAGAGAGCAGGGACACTGGAACACTGCGATATATGGGTTCCATTTTCTAAACCAGTGCTTTTGATAGAGATTTAGTGAAACAATATTTTCCAGCATTTCTGGCCTTTGGAGCTCACTCTATTTGCATGATCTCAGATGGAAAATAAACAACGGCATTGTGTGAAGGCGTTGCCATTAATTTATTGACCTCCTTTCACCCAGCAAACACTAATGGAGGAGCTTTGTTGTTCATGTTGAGGATAGAAAAGACATTTTTCCTGCTCTGGATGAGTGAATCAAGCGGCGTGGTATAGATGTGTGTTATCTGGCACGGTTCATCTTGTGCACTGAAGGGATAATGTGCTTGCAAAGTGGTTCCAAATAGATTGAATCAGAACAAAGTCCTCTTATTTTCTTGTCCACTGACTCAGTGAAATTGAGCAGTTTTATACCAAAATGAGATATCTGTAATTTAAAAAAATAGAGCCTTACTGCAAGTATATGCTTTCTGATATTAAGACAGTTGCTGATCTGAAGCTTTTTTTAAAAAATGTAATTATATTTTCAGTTACTCTAAAAAAGGAAACACATCATTTTCCTTAATGAAATGTAAACAATAATTTGCAGAGGAAAAGAACGGAGAGGAAAGGAGACGAGAGGAGAGGCGAGAGAGGAAAGAAAATACAGTAGTCCAGGTGATATGTGCTAAACTGGAGGCGATTTTTCATTTTCATTTCTCCTAATTTTCACAGATCACCTGGACTAAAATGGAAAGGGAGGAAAGGAAAGAAAAGGAAAGGAGAAAGATGAAAGGAGAGGAGAGGGAAGGAAACAAAAGGAAAGGTCGTGGAAGTAAATGAAATGAGAGGAAAGGAAAAGGAGAGCAGAGGATAGGATAGGGAAGGAAAGAAAGGAGATGAGAGGGAATACAAGGAAAGGAGGGAAAAAGAAATGAGAGAAAAAGCAAAGGAGATGAAAAAAGAAGCACGAGGAGCAGAGGAGTGGAGCTTTTGAAGCTGCTGTTGCTAGGGCAGCCCGAGCCCATCCACTCCTTCAATCGCTGCGCTCAGAGATATGAGATGTGATTTAATTCAGTGGGTCCCCTTTCTGGAGCGTAGATGAATGTACAGCCTAGAGGTTAAATGCATTCTCATTAATTCCTCGCTTCCTCCACTTCAATCTCCCCCATCACTCTCCGCATCGATATGTTAAGAGGTCGTAAAGGCGCGTAACCTACGCAGTCGCACATTGTTTTCTGTCTCTGATCCGTCTCACACTGTCTGGAACATACCGACTCCGGTTTTCTCACTATTTACACACTCTCATATCTCTGTCTTTCCCCTCTCGCTCACACTCTCACACTCTTGACATGCTGTCGCCTCAGTCCCCCCCCCCCATTACTTCTGAGCTTCTTCTTTTTTTAAAGAGAGCTCGGTTTGACTTCACAGCCTGGAGTGAAACATCTACCTCAATATGTGATTTTCAAAGTGCTTTTGATAGCACAGTATAGTATAAAACAGAGAAATCAGGCCAATTGTTTCATTTAGTGTGTTTATTCTGTGTGCAGCACTGACAGAGCCTCAGCTAAAACAGAAATAGGACTTCTTTGTACTTGTTCTACTGAAAGAACGCATAAACAAATACATGCAACAGTCTTACTGCGGCAGAGTGTGCAGAATCAGTGTGGTTGGTCTTTATTCCATCTCTAAAGCTTTAAACAAACTTTCAGTAGACAGCTAAAAGTTGGAGACGTCGCCATATTTTTGAATGTTGTACAAAACAGTGTAACGCTGGTTACTCCTAACTGCTAAACGTACTACAAGGAGTTTTTATCTGCTTATGCAACAGTCTTAATTGAATACTAATGCCTCTATATGACCTACATCAACAAACCACGCCGTCAACAAGATTGTTGGCTATTTCTATGTAGTTATTCTCAATGCCTGCCACTGGGTCGGATTCAGTGGGATTCCCCTTGAAATCAATGGAACAAGATGGTGGAAACACTGCTGCTGTTGTCTACAGGGGCCGCCAGAATTAATAGAAAACAAAATTAAACTACTGCATTACAAAAACTCTGAGGTCACAGGTTTCACTCCGCCAGACCAAACAGTTCTGGCTAAAATGGCGCAAAATCCAATGCATTATAAATAAAAAATATATGGTAAATGGACCTGTACTTGTATAGCGCCTTTCTAGTCTTCTGACCACTCAAAGCGCTTTTATACTACGTGCCACATTCACCCTTTGACACACATTCACTTAGTGATGGTAAAGTCCATCAAAGAAAAACTAACTCATTCATACACATTCACACACCAATGCACGGCATCGGGAGCAATTCAGGGTTAAGTATCTTGCTCAAGGATACTTCGACATGTGGCACCAGGAGCCGGGGATCAAACCAACAACTTCCGATTAGGGGATGGCCCGCCCTGCCTCTGCACCGCAGCCTCCCCAATTATAATGTTGTGATACCTGACAATTGTGACAATCATCCCAAAAACATCAGTAAAATAGAATAATATGTAAAAAAAATCTCCACTTCCATCTGATGTTACATTATATGAGGATTATTCAACGAGGCATATACCGAAATAAAACTGATCAGCAATTTTATTTCTTTTTCAAAATATTTTTTTTAAAAAACATCCAAAGAGTTAGAATATTCTTGTCTCTTCCCACTTGTCAACACAACATATGCTGCATAAGTGTTTGCATGAAAGAATTACGAGGATTTTGGTGTGAAACGTACAGCCTGTAGTGTCAAAGTTACTTGTTAAATGGTGAGTCAAAATAAACAAATAACTGAACAATCAAACTGTATTTAGATAATCTGTGAGCATCAAAAATAGTCTGCAGCATTCTCCTTCGTTTGTCGACCCAAGGGCTAATACCCCAGTTATTGTCTTTGAACAATAACTTCCTGTTTTGCTATATTCAACACTGCAATTACATTTCTAAGAAACTAGTGCGAGTTAAATAGGATGGCCTGGGCTCCTGTGCTGCCCTGATAAATGCCAGAAATGTAGGGATCCATTCATTTGAAAACACTAAAATACCTCCTGGCACAACATTAATGCAATTGTTCCCCACAGTTACATGTGTAACACTCGCAGGGCTGTGCTTATCATAGCCGCGCTAGCATCGGTGCTAATGAGGGGGCTCAGCCAGTCTCCTCTCTGATGCCGACTAAATGAGCTCTCATCCCCTGACACAGCTAATGGCTGCTGTAATGGTCACAGGCCATTGTGTGGCTGCGGGGTAGAGAGAAAGATGACCCATACTTTATGTGGCAGCATTGTTGAAAGGTTTCCTGAGAGGCATTATTTACTGTTTGTTTTAATGACACTCGAAAGTCACTCTAAATTCACTTCATTACAGCACTGGATGGTGTCGAAAGTGATCGTTCAGTCAATGATTAGATTATTATTTAATACATTTATTTATTTCATTGTTTGAGAGGTGAATCTGAGTTTTTAAAAGTCACCCATTAACAATCTATTTTTATCTAGGGATGTCTGTCAGGTGGTCATCAGTTTGTCACTAAGATATCTCAACAATGAATGAATGCATTAATGTGAAATTTTGTACACACATTCATGGTCCCCAGATGATAAATCCTAATGACTTTGGTGATCCTCTACAACTATTGAATATATATTGCCATAAACTAGTGGTCAGTACAAACATAAAGATCAATTGTAAAAACCTCAAAGGTCCAGTGTGTAGGATTTATGCTGCATTCACGTGGTAGACAGCAAACCGGATGTCATGTCCGTAGATGAGAGCAGGACGGTAAACTTAGGTGAGGGCGGCAAAGAATACCGGCAACTGTAACGGTATAGTACAGCTGTGGAAAGGCCTTCACCCTCCCCTTCCAAACGAGAAGGAGGAACTACAGTGGCTGCGAAACGCGTGAAAAAACTCAACTGAGATGGTTAACATAGTAAACATTATACCTGCTCTGCTACATATTAACATTGCAATTGTACGCATGTTAGCATGCTGAAAGTAAGTAAGCCTTTGGGGCCAATATTGATCTCGGTATTTGAGAGATAACCATACATCTTTATATATATTTTTAATCTTATGCGTAAACATACAGATCTCTTGAACGTGGTTATTGGAGCTGGGTAATTTACAATGTACAGTGAACATACATATC